CACACGCATGCGTCACGTTGCTCAAATGTGAGGCTTTGGCCAATAATGAGCCGGCGTTCAGACGTAGAACACGGAAGCCTTCACTGTGCTTACTGCGTTAACCGCGTAAGGATAATGACAGGGAAGAGAAGAGATTGCTGAATAAAGGTATTATTTTTGTTTTGTTTTTGCGCACAAAATGTATTCTCGTCGCTTCATAAAATTATTGTAGAACAGAGAACAGATTGCTGAATAAAATTATTTTTGTTTTGTTTTTGTGCACAAAAAGTATTCTCATTGCTTCATAAAATTATTGTAGAACCACTGTAGTCACGTCAACTGTTTTAACGACGTCTTTAGTACCTTTATGGATCTTGAGAGTTTGGGTGGCGTTGCTGTCAATGGAGGCCTCTCTGAGCCATCGGATTTGATCAAAAATATCTTAATTTGTGTTCTGAAGATGAACGAAGGTCTTAGGGGTGTGGAACAACATGAGGGTGAGTATTTAATGACAGAATTTTCATTTTTGGGTGAACTAACCCTTTAAGACATGTCAAAATCATATTGCATAACATCTTGTCTACTAAAATGCCTTTATCTGGTGGATTTTTGAAGGAAACACAGATGTATCCTTCATTACCTATGATATCCAACAACTCTGTGCATTCAGTTTGGTGTCTGAAAAGCAGTTTAAGGTAGTAATTAGCAGTTTAATAAGTATTTTTTTTTAAGACTGCATGATTATTTTAACTGACAAGCATTCTAAAGCATATATGAATTTGCACAATATAATCAGATATTATTCTTGCCTAAGTTTCTTTAGAAGGTGTCTTCATTAAAGTCAAAGTGAAAATTAGCCTAAAGCACTGATGGGCTGAGGAGCAAGAAAGATGCCTTTGGTTTTGAACACAGCCTAATGGTTTGACGCACCTCTTGATGGCCACTAGCTCTCCAGACTCATTGCTTTTCCCCATCAGAACACTGCCGTAGGTCCCATCACCCAGCTGCTTGAGTGTTGTGTAACGGTTCATCTTCACTCTCACCCAGAGAAACAGTACTGACAGACGGACGTCTCTCCTCTCAGATCACCTGATCATATCTGTCCTGTAGATGAGCTTAAGAGAAGTGAAGCAGTGAACGCCACTCCATCCCACTGTTGGCACTGGAAACAAATACAGAAAATAGAACACAATGCACTGTTTACGGTGTCTACTGAGTAACAGTACTGTATCATGTTGCTTAAATCTAATTTAATTGACATTAATCAATGCTTCAAAATATTACTGATAGCAAATTAATTTGAAGAACTATTATTCATGTAATTAATTAGAAAATACATGTGCACATTTTGCATATAGTTTGTTTATTAATTGAGTTTACAAATAACGTATCCATGTACCGTTTTTAAACAATGTAAAGTCTCCATGAAACGGAAGTTTTGACCAACTTTACTACTGTATTAAACAAGTTATGACATTTTGATTAAAGATTCCAAAGTAAAAAAATAAATAAATACAAAAAGAATGAACTGTTAACAATAAGAGCAGCAACAAAACAAATAGGGTCAATTTTGATTTAATTCAAACTTTAAAATGTATACTGTATTGTGTAAAGCAAAGTGTGTATCTTAGGTCCTGTAACTGGTCATGACAAGTACTCCATGTTGTTTCTCAATTAATATAAGATCATGAAAGTTAAATGCTAACATGAATAGTTAAATGCTGTCTAAAATATTTTGAAATGGAGTACGGGACAGCTATCCATGTCGTCAATTAATGAGATATCTAAAAGTTAATACTATACACCAATCAAACATTTACAAATGTTGTATTTTAGACTTCGACTAGCTATTTGAGAAATGCCATCTCCTGTGTTCCTGCATTACTGCTGCTGCATTACTACAGAACACTACAACAACTGAACATATACCTGATAAAGAGGATATTGCAAAAGTACATAAATTCTTTCAATTGTTGCTCCTGTAAATCTACATTGTTCTGTTAGCATGATAGGGGATCATATTAAACATTTATTTTTTTTAGCGCATACTGCAGTCTTACGGAACAAATGAGTCAGCCGTGCTACAAGATTAAACACGCCAGTGAGATATCAAGATCTTGCATCATGGTCACGATTTTGACTACAACTGCTCTCCATCCATCAAATAGCAGCCAATGGGATTTACAGGCCGAGCAAACTGCACATGTTTTGTGTCAAAGCAATGAGTAAAAAATAAGTTTAAAAAATGTTCTGTGAAAATATCTTTATGCAAATTGGATGAACCTCACGTAAATCATGTATAAATTATGTAACCAAAATCAAAAGAAAAGATCACATCATTAAGCCTGTGTTAGGCCAATTAAGACTTATTCATTTATTTAGTTAGTTAGTTAGTTATATAGTTAGTAATTAGCATGGTTCTAAATAGATTGAAGATGTTTGTAGATTTTAACATGAAAGAACACACACACACACACACGTGTGTGTGTGTGTGTGTTCTTTCATGTTAAAATCTACAAACATCTTCAATCTATTTAGAACCATGCTAATTACTAACTATATAACTAACTAACTAACTAAATAAATGAATAAGTCTTAATTGGCCTAACACAGGCTTAATGATGTGATCTTTTCTTTTGATTTTGGTTACATAATTTATACATGATTTACGTGAGGTTCATCCAATTTGCATAAAGATATTTTCACAGAACATTTTTTAAACTTATTTTTTACTCATTGCTTTGACACAAAACATGTGCAGTTTGCTCGGTGTGTGTGTATATATATAGAACTACAGTAATGCAAACTGGGGGTAAAATATGTTCAATTATCTTGAAAATGACATCACAATGGAAAAATTTAATGGAACGTTAACGGTCACAATGCTTAATTGTTCTAAAACCCAAAAAGAGGCTTCAGTTTCTTTACCCAAAACATAATAGCGTCTTGCTCTTATTCATGTTCTTCAAACACTTATTCCCCTGGTTTCACAGACAAGGCTTAAACCTAGTCCCAGACTAAAATGCATGACTGAGCTGTTTTAATTGAAAGAAACTTGCACTGACATATCTTAAAACGTATCAGTGCCATTGTTTTGTCTCAAGATGCACCAGTAATGTTTTTTTGTTTTGTTTTTTTTTTCCTAAGAAACGTTTATAAAAGATACTTAAATGTCCTAATTGAACTATGGCCTAAACCTGGCTTAAGCCCTACCAGGTTAAAATAATATCTCAAGCTTTATGCTTGATTTATTTGTAACACATTAAGCTCAAAACCTTTTCAGCTTTCTCTTTCTGCAAATTGTATGGTGTATATGATGACAGCACCCAAAATACTATCAAACACTCCAACGCAGCTCCATTCTTCGCGAAAGATGGATAAAAAGGCACACACGAAACAAAAACCTCGAAAAAGATGGATAAAAAGGCGCACAGCAAACAAAAACCTTGATAAATGATATGCGCATATAATTTTTCGAGGTTTTTGTTTGCTGTGCGCCTTTGTATCCATCTTCCGCGAAGAATGGAGCTGCGTTGAAGTGTGCGAATAGGGCTTAACTTTCATAAAAGACCTTCACATATAAGGAGACTTTTGACCAGCGCAGGGCAACACTTTAGGTTCAGGGTAAAGATTATGTCACATAATTCAAGTCAAAAATACCTACAAACAGCACACAGGAAACACACATCTAACACCACTGCAAACACAAATTCATGAGGCCAAACGTGAAAAGCGTTCCGTATGGGAAAGATAAAGGTTCACAAAACAGATCGGTCAGTAATCTGGTTTAAGAAGCATTAGTGGATCTACACAGAGGACACATGGAGTTAAGATGTTGCTCAAGGTCACTCAATATGCTGAACAGGTGTGAATTAACATGGGGGCAGAAAATCAACCTATATATAAAAATAACATTTTAATAAAAACCGAATTTACGAGTGTCCCGAGACTGCATTTAACGTTAAACTTTACCAGCATGATCTGACAACCCTCAGGATTATTTATTAGTATTGCAACATAAAGACGTTTAATAAGCCATTGGAGTTGCGTAATTTATTATTATTCATCATTATTAATCTGAAATGTGTTTTCTTTTGGGTTGACTTTAAATGTTTTGCTCATTCACATTATCTTCCGCGCAGTTTTGCTCCGCAAACTCACCGTTGTGATGGCACTCCTCCCTGATAGTCGTTGCCTGTGTGTAGATATGACAGACGTGTTTAAGAGAGATACTACGTAAGTTTATCTCTTTTTTAAAGAGGTGTGATCCATCCTCACCCTGGCAACCGACACTCGCTACGTCTAACAACACACAGCCAGCCGCAGCCGGAAGTCATGAGTCACGTGGATGCGCGAAGGTTCATGGGGCTTGTTGTTCAGTTTTTTTTAACTCCTTCAGTTCTACTGCTGACTATGAATTTATATTCACGTTTTTCATGCAGTATAACAGCAGTGTCTCATTTAAAGCAATCATAATTGTATGTATTTTTTTATACACCCAGTGTACCTAACCAATGTTGGATATTACATTTTGTAATGTTGGTTGTAATGGCACTCCTCCCTGATAGTCGTTGCCTGTGTAGATATGACAGACGTGTTTAAGAGAGATACTACATAAGTTTATCTCTTTTTTAAAGAGGTGTGATCCATCCTCACCTTGGCAACCGACACTCTACGCTAACAACTCACAGCCAGCCGCAGCCGGAAGTCATGAGTCACGTGGATGCGCGAAGGTCCATGGGGCTTGTTGTTCAGTTTTTTTAACCCCTTCCGTTCTACAGCTGACTATGGATTTATAATCACGTTTTTCATGCAGTATAACGGATGCGCGAAGGTTCATGGGGCTTGTTGTTCAGTTTTTTTAACCCCTTCAGTTCTACAGCTGACTATGGATTTATAATCACGTTTTTCATGCAGTATAACAGCAGTGTCTCATTTAAAGTAATCATAATTGTATGTATTTTTTTTATACACCCAGTGTACCTAACCAATGTTGGATATTACATTTTGTAATGTTGGTAATTAAATGTCGCCTTGCGTCTACACCAGGGGCCCGTTTTTCGTATCTCACTTAACACATCTGAGATGATTTGAAAGATGCCAGATCATCTAATCGTGATAACTGATCTCTGGCTAATTTGGTTCTTCAAACGAATTTGCGGATTTTATTAAAATATCTGGATTAAGTTGTCTAAGATTACTGCGCATTAAAAAAAGACGCCTGACGAAAAACCTGACCAATTTCTGGACCTTTATAAGGAAACAGCCAAGTGAACAAAACTACATATATGTTATAATAGATTAATGAAATGTGCACTTTTTTATTTATTTATTTATTTATATATTTATTTATTTTTACATGATTCCAAATTATTTGTATTCACAATTTCTAGTATGTTTACAGACTTTACATTTTTATTTCAATTTTGTAATTAACAATTCATGTAATTTTTTCTTGGAAGCAGATTTGTTATGTGACAGCATTAAGAGATGCAGATAACTTGATCTTGACCCTTAAGAAACTTTAATTAACACTGTCATTGTGGTGGTTTCTGCCGATGCTGTGAGGAATCATTCTCAAATTCTTGGGGTTTTGATGCCAGAAGAGAGACTTTATGCTTAAGAGAAAATAAAGCTGAGAAAAACTCTGCAGAGCAATCTCCAGACTCTTTTTCTGTACCCTCTTATATACAGTTCTTTCTCTAGGCGTGTTCAATACATTTCATTCATATTTGTTATGGGATCACGATGCAGTCAGGTCTTAATTTTATGTTCCGTGAAAGTAAGGGCCCCATCACATGCTTCACCATATGTCTGCACATTCCATTCTCATAGATTTCTATACATGCAGGCAAATACACATGATTATAATGGTAGAATAATTTAATACATAAATGGCTATATTCACTTTGATTATATTTGAATAATTTATATTTTGATTAATTAAACTCTTCTACATTCGTTCTCCCCTTTGAGACTTACTAAGTCTCACCTTTACTTGTTTTTACCCAGAGTGCAGTTTCATAATTCAGTCTCATCAGTTATTACTACCTAGTGACTAAATGAAGTCACACAGTTTTATCACCAATGACCAGATTATGTAACAGCACTCTGGCGGAGCAGCAGGACCAAACCTCTCCCACCACACTTGACTAGGAGGGAGTAAAAGATTGTCACAGTTATGTAGTATACAACAGAAATAAAAATTCAAAACATAAAACATGTAACATCACAAAAAAATTGCATAGTTGATCTTCAGCCCAGACGCATTAGAGGGCCATTTTGGTTACTCTAAAAAATCAATTTCCCATCATCTTGACATCTTATAATTTTAATTTGCTTAGCTGTGGCTTTGATAACTAGTGACCTCAATATAGGAAGTACACAGTAAAATAGTAATCTTCCTATCAATACTACAAGTCCTAAAAACATTCCCAATTTAGTTAACTATGTTCCAATGCTCCTAACTTTAGATCAAACCAATCTCACATTTGATTATCTTTTCCAGCATTTGCTTTATCTTCCATTCTTAGGTTTTTTAATTTGATCATTACTTCACTAAATGCTCCTTCTGAAGCAGTATTATTTGGTATATACGTACAGCATTGTTCCCCAAACATAACACATACTTTTCCTTTTTCAGTTAACAAATAATATAAAGCTATTCTATTTTGCTATGTCATTCTGCTTGTTGCATCCAATTACTCTCCTAGAAGTGTTAAGGCCTCATCAGTGTAATTAATAAATATTTGCTGATTGTACTTCATGTAATTTAATTAATCCCTTCTGTAATTTTATTAATTTTTTTATTTCTTGTAATTCTAAATAATATTGATTCAAACCCTAATTTAACTTCATCTCTTGTATTAAATTCGTTAGGTATGCCTTTAGGTTGACCAATTGAATATATATAAACTGCAGGGTCTTTTTCATCTGTTCTTTTGGTTCTAGTTTTTTCTTCGTTTGTTGTTTCCTCTTCTAGAGAAATATGACCTTTTATGTGTCAGCATAACCCTAGTACATAATCCTGACGAATTTTCTGGTAACGTTGGCAAGAGGCCTTATGCTAATCCACATATACATTATATGTCTGCCAATGCAATATCAATTTCATCAAATATAGGTGGTGGGCCTTCCTTCATCACTAAATAGTCATCTTTATATCGTGGAATTTCCCATATTTTGCTGCATTTCCCTTCAAATCTTCCTACGTCAATATTTCCCTTCTTCTCATAACATTCAAATTCCTGATCTGCCATTAATTGTATTTTCCCTTGTGGCTTTTGTATTTATTTCTCTTTTTTTCTGTACTATTGACCATTTACGGGTTCGTATGCACTGTAATTCAGTTGCTTCTCTGTAGTTTGTTGTAGATTGGAGAAACTGGCACCAATATGGGCATAATGACATTTTTGGGTACAGTTTCTAAAGACATTTATCTCTCTGCCTATTTCTATAAAGCATTTACCTCCCAATCTCACTACATCTAACCCCATTGCATGATTAGATAGTCCTGAACATTTCTTAAACCATTCATCATGCGATATTCTACAACTAGAACTGTGTATAGGTATTGGTAAAATATCTAAAATTGGTCTTGCTTCAAAGCAAACTATGCAGTTTTCCCATTTCTCTTTTCCTGCTGTGTAATTTACCCATTTATACCAATTATTGTCTTCTGCCCTTTTCCATAATATATCTGAATTGCCCGTTCTCTTATAAGTAATATTATTATGGTTGTCATTTACAATGTGTCTGTTTTGTCTAGATAATTTTTCCTCCTTATATAGTTCTTGCTCTTTTTGGATTAAGTCAAGGCCACTGATAGATTCAACTGAGGGGGTGAAAGTTGATTCTAAGGAAGTCTGGGTGCTGTTGTCTACAGCTTGAGCTTGTCGAATTAGATGCGTTAGGCATGTGATGATCATCAGATATCTTTTCACTTTTCTGCTTCTCTGACAAAAGAATGTGAGCTCCTTGCTTATCTCTTTTTGAGTTGTCATCAGTTTGCACTTCATCTTGTGTCACTGTCTCTCCATGTCACTTTCTCCCGAGTTGTCTGCTTGTCTGTTTCCTTCTCTTTCCACTTCCTCTTTTCCATTTGATGGCCCACATCTGCTCCCAAGTATTTTGATCATCTCGTTAGCTGTCCCAGCAATCATTCCATCTTCACCAGGGTGACTCTTTGCGAGTCGTTGCAATGGTCTTTCCCTCGTTGGCAAGGGAGGGTCATTACTAGCACGCCCTTCATCCCTTACTTCATGCTGTGTGGGGTTGTTGAAGTGGTTCTTATTGGTGGAGCAAACCATTCCTTGTCCTTTATAGAACTGTTGTCACCTGTAAATGGAAACCTTTAGAGTTTTTTGTTAGTAATATCAAGCATGCTCATTTGCTTATCTGGCCAGTCATCTTTCTTGGTGTGACCTGTGGAAATTTCATGTGGGTTGAGGGCTGTCCTGGCCCCTTTTTTGAGCTCTCACAAATCCATTGCGGTCAATACAATGAGTAAAGGGCTAATACCCACTTTCTATAATAAAAAGCTTTAATTAATTATTTGCATCCTTACTATGTTTTAATTAATTTGAAATTTATTCTCAACAATTTGCTAATTCAGTTATCTCTGTTTTTTAAAGTAAACTGAGTTCCACTATACCACTGGATAATTTCCTAGGCCTATCTTGATCAGTAGCATGGGCCTTTTGACCTGGAAAACACTCAACCCACTTTATTTCTGTTAACAGTCAGAAAAACAATATTTTATCCTTTTTGTTCATTACATTTCATTCATATTTGTTATGGGATCACAATGCAGTCAGGAGGCCTTAATTTTATGTTCCGTGAAAGTAAGGGCCCCATCACATGCTTCACCATATGTCTGCACATTCCATTCTCATAGATTTCTATACATGCAGGCAAATACACATGATTATAATGGTAGAATAATTTAATACATAATTGGCTTTTGACACAGAATCAGCTCCATCATGATATGCTGAAAATATAGTTAGATGTGGGGTGGACAGAGCAAGCTTGCTTTGCTCTGCCTTCCCATGTTATATGCTGCGCAAGTGTGGCACTGCTTTTCTTTCTGCCACAACAATGACCTAGGTACTGTGAAGGAATCATTCTCAAATTCTTGGGGTTTTGATGCCAGAAGAGAGACTTAATTCTTCAGAGAAAATAAAGCCGAGAAAAACTCTGCAGAGCAATCTCCAGACTCTTTTTCTGTACCCTCTTATATACAGTTCTTTCTCTAGGCGTGTTCAATACATTTCATTCATATTTGTTATGGGATCACGATGCAGTCAGGAGGCCTTCATTTTATGTTCCGTGAAAATAATG